GAGATGCACTGTTTGTTGGTTATGTTTGTTTCAGGGGAAAAAAAATTAAAAACCAATTTTAAAAAGGAATTGCCTGTTGGCACAGAGCAAACTAAGGCTAATGCAAAACACTTTTTAAGTTGTGAGTTACTGAAGAAGTAGAACATCCAAGCCGTAAACTGTATCCCAAATGGGAAAAAATTGCTTTTTGTTAAAAATCATTTATCTATCAGCAGACTGCTAGCGAGCCTTCCAGCTTTGGACAAGCAGCAGAAGAACTTATTGAAATGTTAAGGCGTAGGAATAAAAAAGTTCAAAATTTGAAGATCCAACTTCTTGTTCAGCCCTTCTCCAATGTGCAGAAGTGGTTATGGAAGGAGGAAAGGGATGGCTAAGAATGGCATGGGATGCTGCACCAGTGGAAGTGGTTCCGCTGCTAAAGCAAGATATTGGACCAAGGCTATTATGTCTCACCCTCTGAAGTGAATCACAATACACTCTTTACCAGAAACGATATGTTACAATGACTGGTTTGGGTCCCTGTCATAGCCCTAGGCTGAAAAGGAGCCTTCATCGCCATGAGCTCAAAATGTGAGCATCACGCAGGCACTCCAAACAGAGTTACAAGGACCTTTTTGGCTACAGCTCCCAGATTATGGAATGGCGTGCTGGATGAGATCCGTCATATTACCACCTTAGACAGCTTCTCTTCTTGATCTCTTCCGGCAAGCCTTTCCCAAATAGATATCCCAGTCATCAAAAGACAGCCGTCCTGCTCATCCGTGATTCAGCTTTAGTTATTGTTATTTGTTTCTTTGTTTTTTGTGTTATTATTTTAAATGGGTTTTAAACTGTCATTATTTAATTGTATTTTAAGGGGTGGGTGGGATTGTGGGATATGAATGTATATTTTAAAGTTGTAAGCCACCCTGGTTGCATTACACAGAGGGACGGGATTATTATTATTATTATTATTATTATTATTATTATTATTATTATTATTATTATTATTATTATTATTATTATTATTATTATTATTATTATTATTCCGTCCCTCTGCGTAATGCAACCAGGGTGGCTTACAACTTTAAAATATACATTCATATCCCACAATCTCACCCATTATTATTATTATTATTAATTATTATTATTACCATTTGCAGATCAAAAAGACCAGGCTTAGGAGCTGCAAAGCAGGACATTCACACCTAGAAGATTTATGAGTGCCAGCTAGGATGTGTCCGGCTGAAGATGAGATAACATCAACATCCTATCTCCCTCTTTTGGAAATTGTCTACTTCAAAGCATAACAATCAGAATCCTTTGATATTAAGGGTATAAATGCTCCCAAAATCTCAGGCACAGGGGGGTCTGGGTAGATTTCATGATGACACTGTGCCACTGTAGTCTCTGACTAAAGTCTCCAGCTCTATTCGGCTGTCCTTTCCTTGTCATAATGGTTGAGTCTATCCCTTTTCATTCATCGTTGGAGCAGCCTCCTTTCAGGTAATTATCACCACTAGAAAGCCTTGTGTGTCCTATCCAAGCTAACTACTTTACTCCTGAGTTCTTGTGTGAGTGCATATATGTTAGGATGTTTTTGTATGTTTGATCCTCTGTATATGTGTGTGCTTGCTTATTTATTGATTGATTTTTCTCTCTTAATAAAAGTACCATTTTTGGGGGAAAATGCAGTCTCTGCAAGAACTGTTCCCTCTAGCCGCCTGCATACAATGGGTTTAGATCCCATTTATTATTTTTGAGCTAATTATAAATTCCCCAAGGTCAAGTTCTTATTACAGATAAGAGAAGCATGGAAAGAACTAATGACTGCATAGCTCAGAGGTAAGCTAGGTATGATCCTCCAGATATTGCTGAACTGCTATTCAGTATTCCTCATCATCGGCTGCATACGCACTGCAGAAATGATCTAGTTTAACACTATTATAACTGCCCTGGCTCAATGCTATGGAATTCTGAGAACTGTAGTTTTGTGAGACGTTTCGTTCTCTGTCAGAGAGCTCTGGTGCCACAGCAAACTACAGATCCCAGGATTCCATAGCATTGTGCCGTAGCAGTTAAAGTGGTGTCAACCTGGATTATTTCTGCAGTGTGGATGCAGCCATTGCCCATGTTGGCTGGGGGTGCTGGGAACAATTTGAAGACGTAAAGCAGGGGTAGGCAGCCTTTCCCCTTTAAGGGCCGAGGGACTTCAGCTCCCAGAAGCCTCAGCCATGTTGGCCAATAGTCCCATGTTGCCCAATAGCTCCTGGGATTCTGGGAGCTGAAGTCCCTCAGCCTTTAAAGAGGAAAGATTGCCTACCCCTGATGTAAAGCCAGCGAGAAGCATAGAGTTTCTTGAGAGTATTTCTATTTCCTGAAATAATTTGATAATGTACATTAAACTTCCATTCAGAACAGCGGGATACAACTAAAATGGACTGGCAGGGCCCATCAGATCCCTTCAGACTAAACCTTCCTCTCCAAAAGAAAACTGACACAATCTCTGTACAACTTTAACCTTTGTAATAACTAAACAATTCCTAGAAAAACGTTTATGATGAAAAAGATTATTATAACATTCTTCAGTCTAATATAGGGCCCCTTCCAGAACAGTTTAGAAAAGAAAAGCCAAAACAATTGTTTTAAATTTTGTTAGCTGTGTTGAGGCCCTATACCAGGAGAAAGGAGGGATATATAAAAACTAAATAAACAAATAAATAAATAACAAAATGTCAACACTGGTTTCTATACAAGATAAAATAAAAATAAATAAAGCTATTTTTACCTTTCTATGGAATCAACATCTGCAGAAGTACAGTCTAAATAAGCTTGAATCTGCTTTTCTAAATAGCTATGGATAGTTTCTTCTGCTCCGGCAGGTGATGTGAAGATATTCTGGGCTGCTGTACTTAGTAAAATGGCTTCATAGTTCCCTTCAAGCAGCAAGTGCAACAAGGATCCACTTTCTGAAATAAAATATTTTTGGTGAAATTCTTAAAAGCAACCTGCATTTTCTATAGCAACGTAACACTAAGGCCTCTTATTCCAAAGCAAAGGAACATTGTGATGTGAGTCCAAAAGGTATTTTCTCACTGCAAGCCCTTCCTCTCCTCTGGTCTGCTTTTATTATATTTTTTAAATGTATAGTTTTTGATGAGGTCAGAGCAGACTGGGAATGGGTCTGAAAGATTTCCTTTTGGCTAAGATTTTGTGGTGGTGTATTTTTTACTTGCACAGAGAACTGTGGGCAAAGCATGGGTGCAAAAGCTATTTCCACATTTGTCGAGCACAAAATATATTAGCTGATGAAACAGTTGCTGTCCTTGATGGGGCGTGTGATATGTCAGTTTCGTAGAAATTTACAACTTTAACAAAAAGTAATTAAAACTATATTGTGAAAGGCGCTAAGAGCAAATCAAACACAACGTGTATTAGATTTCAAGTCTAATCCCTGAGAACCTATCTTGGGCTTTTCTTGGCAAAGTTTCTTCAGAGGAGGTTTGGCACTGCCTTCCCCTGAAGCTGAGACAGTGTGATTCGCCCAAAGGCACCCTAGTGGGTTTTCAATCTCGAGCGGAGGAGAATCGAACCCAGATCCAGACCAACCCATTACAACCTATTACGCAACAAACTACAATTCCCAGAATTCCATAGCATTCAGCCATGGCAGTTAAACCGGTGTCAAACAGGATTATTTCTGCAGTGTGGAGGCAGCCCAGGATCCGGTCTGGATCTAACAAGCTCTGGGGGAGTTTGGTATCTGCTGCTCTGAGTCCCAACTTAATCATGATGATGATAATGATAATAATAATGATAACAATAATAATAATGGTGATAATGATGCTGATGATGATGCTAAGAATGACAATGATGATAATAATAATAATGATAATAATAATAATAATGGTGATAACTATAATAATGACAATAATAATGATGGTGATGAAGAACATAATGATGTTAATAATAATGGTGATAATAATGATGATGATGATGAAGAAAATGATATGATAATAATAATGATGATGCTAATGACATGATGATAATAATGATGATATAATGGTGATAATGATGA